ATATTCAAATAAGTGCAAAAAATGTAAAATAAGAATCGGTATTTTAGGAATTATATACACAGAAATTGGAAATATCTCACCCTCATTTACATAAGATAGTGATCGCTAAGTATCGATATATGTATGCATATACATTGACTTGGTTTTTTAAGTACACCTCGAAGATTTTAGAATTTAGATACACCAAACCAGGTTTTTAGGTTTACCCATGGTATATATAGCCTAAAAATATTTTACTTTTTGGATATTAGTTACAGTTTCCCCTTAAGATTGGAAAAAAATGATTAGCTAAAGCCTTGCGCTTTGGTATATAAACCCCTTCAGGTTCCATATTAAATCCCTCAAAGTTTCATAAAGATTGGACTAAAAACAACGAAGAACAACGCTAGACTGCATTAACCATAGTGTGGGGAATTTGCGCTTATGTTATTTGGGTTTATGTTGTTGAAGTTTTCTACTTTATGTTATGTTAACTCGTGCGCTTTAACATTATATAATGTACACCCCTTATCTTTAGTTGTAGCTGTATTTGTATCTCGCTCTCTTATGTGTAGCACAGAGCATTCTACAATTGGCTCATTTGAACGCTGCGTAGCACCCGTCACAGCGGGCAGCACACACACTCACACCTACACACACACACACACGAATAGGAATACGAACACGATGTTGTTGTCGTCGTGTTGTCGTCGTTCGTTTCTAATTATACGATAGGTGCGCTGCGAGCCATGAAACGTGCGGGGTCTGACCTTCTCCTCGAACGTTTAGGAGCTGCCCAACTTGCGCGACGGAATCGCAGTCGGACCCGAATTCGGAGTCCGAATCGCAGTCGCAACTGCGGTCTTGCATTTGCCTCTTGGGGGCCTGGCGTCAGAAAATAGGTTGGTTTTTCTTCGGTTTTCGGTTTTAGCGCGGCGCTTATTAAATATTAGTTGGCCAAAAAGGCTTCTGTGGCGGCAGCTGTTATTACTGTTGCATGCATCTACTGGGATTTAATTATTGCATTTGGCCGTAGTCGATGCGAAAAAATGGAAATACTTTTCGACGTACTGCCTCCAGCTGTGGCACATTCTTGGGCGTGGCCGACTGTGCCTCGTCATGGAGGTCACTTCGCACTCTTTCGGCGGGCTTCGACCAGGCGAAGCGCCGGACACACTCGTTCAGTGTGCTATTATTAACTGCAATCTATATTTAATTAAATGTATAGTTTAAAAATTATTAAATATTATATAATTACGAGTTGCCAGCAAATCGTTGGGTTATGCTTGAATCGAACGACATTGTCGATTGTTGATGTAATCTTTCGCGGGTTCTCAATAATGTCAGCTTAAATAAAGCGTGTGGATTGCATTTCTTATCTGAAACTGAAATGGTATCGGAGAATTCCACCCGCAACTGTGGAAAATTGGTGGAATATGATTTTTTCTACGTTTTTTGTTTACCATTCCATTGGCTTCAGTACTAAATCTATGTTAAGTTAAAAATAAGAAGCTCCTAATGAAAATGCAGTTGTTAATAAAATGATGAGGCATTATTTAAAAATAAATCTATGATTAGCTTAGATATGAAGGATCTTTATCCTTAGAACAAAGGATTTCATAAAATGATAGGAATTGATTTAAAAATAATCCCATTTTATGCTGACCATTCCAAAGACATTCCAAACCTCTTACTTAAATTATTTTCTGATGCTTTTGATGATTTGTTATTAGATATATGCAATAATGAATCAGCTAATAAATTAGCTTGAATAATACATTTAATGGTCTTTAATATATTTAATAATTTAAAAATTAACTGAGAATACACTTAACAAAAAACATTTAAACTTATTTTAATCCTCAAAAATATATTTCATATGTGAAGAAAATTTTTAGTAAGAATAAAAAATAGTGAATTATAAAAAATAAGTTCAATGAAGTACCAAAAATTATTTGCCTAACTATCTTAACTAAGTATTCTGCAGATTGTAAGGTTAAGAATATGTTTTGAAGTATGTTAAGGATAAAGATTAATTTCATTTAGTTCACCTGCTCAACCTAACCCAACTTTAGTCTCAATTGAGGTTAGGTTGACATTTAAGATTAAAAAAAAAACAAGCAATTTCACATAAAACGAACGCGATCTTTCACGGCAAAGCTTAACTATTTCGCCTTTAATACTCTGCTCTCGTTATGGGAATTCAATTATTCATAGAAAAAAATCATTTTCAATGGAATCGAGCTGAGGCAGTCGCTGGTCATCTGCCTACACGGCCCGATCTGCCCTCGAGTTCTGTTTGTTTTCTTTTCTATTGCCGTAATGTTTCTTTTTTTTTTCGAGTAACCAAAACAAGTAATCTGATATATTTGTCGAACATGGCTTGGCATTAAGCTTGCGGTAACATTTCCGCATTTAAAATGATTTTTAATTATTATTATTTTCGAGAGAGACGCCTACACACATCTGGCATGGATGCTCTCGCCGACTCCGACTCCGACTCCGACTCCGACTCGTAGCTCAAATGTCAGGCTTATAACGCAGCAATCGGAGTTGCCCTATCAAGTGCTTTTCTTGGATCTCTCTATGTGGGTGCCTAAGCTCCATTGATGACACGTCTCTGCTGGCATAGACATCTTCGTCAAATGTGTTAAGTCGAGTGAGAAAATCGAAACCGAAAAGCTAAAACAGGTCTTCGGGTCTTGGGCGGGGTGGGCGAAGTGGGGTGGGGTGGGGTACAGTAAAAAGTGTCAATAAAATGTCATGGAAAGCCACTTAGCTCAACCCGAGCGTGTGTGTGTGTGTGTGTGTGTGTGTGTGCGTGTGTGTGTGCGGCCTCACCCAACACACCCAAAGCACTTTAAACTTTGGTCACATCCGTTGTGGTGCCTCGCACAGTGGGGCCAAGGGTCAAAAATATTGGGCAAAATCAAAATTGTGACAGAAGCATTTGGTTAAAAGCAAAAATGGAGCGTATGGAAAAACACAGCTTAAGATTAATTGCTTAATAAATTACAAAAAAATTCTTGTCCATTCAAAAGTTCGGATTTTAGCAGCGAAGAAAGTCGAGCGATCCCACTGTGCGAGGATGTATTGTTAAAATGAATGAATACGATTAAGAACTCCCCAGAGCTTCAGAATCTAATGTTTTTTTTTTTTTGATAAAATATTTTAGCATATAGCATACACAATTTCGTCTTGTGAATTAAATGAATGCTTACAGCGGAAATAGAGCTACCCAAGGATTAAAATTAAGGAAATTCTCTTAATCTTTTACAATATATCTTACGCTATGCTGTTTCATTTTTGGGCCGAAAATTGTCAACAAGCCCCACTGTGCAACGGCGTGAGGTTAAAGTGAATGAATACTGCGGATATACAGCTACCCAGGGATTAAGATTACGATTAATCTAATGCTTGTGATTTTTGATAATATATTTTAACGTTTGGCAGGTAAGTTATTGCCACGGAAAATGTCGATAGGCCTCACAGTGCGAGGGTGAAGTGATAACTTGAAAGACTACAGCGGGTGGAGAACTTTGCAGAGATTAAGATTAAGATTAATCCAATATGTTTTGATTTTTGACAATATATTTAAACATTATCTAGCTAAGGGGCTCCACTGTGCGGTGATGGGGATGTAAAAAGGATGAATACAGTGGATAGAGAACTTCACAGATATTCAAATTAAACTTAATCTAATACTCATTTGGGTCCATTTTTGCCACGAAAAAGGTTGAAAGGTCCCACTGTGCAGGGGTGAGGTGGTAAACTGAGTAAATACAGCGGAAAGCGAGCTGCGCAGGAATTAAGATTGAGCTTAATCTAATACTTTTTTATTTTTAACAATATAATCTAACGTTCTGTGGTTACATTTTTGACCCGAAAAACGTCGATTTTCTCCACTGTGCAAGGTTCGGGGTTGCCCCCACGAAACATTTGTCAAATTTTATCGTTCACGCTTTGCTATTTCGCCAGTTTTGTTGTGTTTCTACGTATTTTTCAATTTTTCTCTACGATTCTCTATTTTTGTTTCGCTATTTTTTGTTTTTTTTGCACAATTATTGCTTTGATTTAAATCAGTCTACTGACCCAAAAGTTCAGGCTACGGAAATTGCAAATTTAATAATTGACTAGACGCCAAAAAGGCAACAGCTCGCGATGCGGAGTCAAGTTAAAGTAAACCACAAAAAAAAAACAAAACCAATGGGGGCTTATTAATGCGAGATAACCTTGGCTGATTTAATTTCTTGTTCGCGGGCTCTGTGATTACCCAGCTACAACAACAACAACAACAGCGACATCAACAACAGCGACAACAACAACAACAACAGCGACAACCACAAGAAAACAGCAGCCGGAAAAATCAAAAACTTGCACAATTTCGACACTAAACGACGATCTTTGAGTTGTTCGCTTGTGACTAAGTCGCGATTTTTTTGATGCACTTGGCTAGGGTATTATTAGTTTGTCATTAATTGTGTAACGCACAGCAGGAGCAGAACAAATATGTATTCGATATCAATATCAATAGCCGAGTTGACTTAGCCAAGTTCTTCAGTCTGTCCTTTTTTTATAGATCTCGGCATCTCGGGAACTCTGGTAACTAGAGACTTGATATTTTGAACGTAACTCGTTTTATTGCCCCCGCGCGTCGAATTTGCTTGAAAATATCGATAACTTACCCTGTTTTCATTAAATCGATACAAATCGTTATCGAAATTCAGCTATTTGAGCATAACTCGAGAATTATAAGAGCTAGGGACAGCAAATTTGGTATGTAGACCCTTCTATGGTAGAAACAGATATAGAGTATTTCACTTAGTAGATAACTTTCTAGATATTTCAGTTATGCAGCTCCGTCACATATCGAAATATATTGATGAATAGTATACAAACTATAGGTAGGTTGGCTAGAAGTTTTTTTCGTAATTCCCTCCAAGCCACATATCTTAAAGGGCATCTCATATTCGGCGTGCCGAACTCAGCTTTAGTTCTTGATTAATTTTTACTGGTTGCAGTTCGGGCTCGGCTCTGGCTGCCAGTTAGTCGCATATTTAATTAAGAGATTGAGGCACAAATAGTGTTGAACAATGGTACATGCTGTTGGCAGCACGAGTCGGCCTGCAGTACACTGCGCGAAAAAACCCGCAACTAATCGCTGGAACCAAAGTCTGAGGACTTGGCGTGTGGCGTCGGGGGCTTTGTGCGCTCGTCGAAGACCAGCTTGGTGGGCTCCCGGGCGATCATGTACCAGGAGATGTAGAAGTTCTCGCTTATGGGCTCCGGTATATATTTGTTGTCCATTTCCAGCCAATCCTTGACCTTGTTGATGTCCTTGATGGCGCCCTCCATCAGCCCGGTCGCATCCTCGCGTCCGTAGGTAAACATTATATAGCCGGAGACATTCGCCTTGCGACAACGATTTGTCAGTTCCTTGAGGAATTCCCGTTCGTTGGAATCCAATTGGTGCAGCTGGAACTCTACCTTGAATACGGTATCCCTGCCGATGGCCATCTTCCGGCGTTCCCGGCACACCTGGCACACACAGAACGCAATATTTTCATCCTTTTCCGTATTTGAAGAGCAGCTCTCAGCAAACTGCGGCTGCCTTTCAGAGGAACTCTCTTTGGCATTCCCCTTCGGTTTCCGCTCAGTGAGCACCTTTTCGGTGACCACTTTCAGATAGTTTTCGCTATCAAATGAGGTAAAAGAACTTGAATCGGACATCTTTCAGCTTTTTATATAATATATCTAAAAAAACAATTTATTTCAGTTTTGGTAGTATTTTGATCAAGATCAACAAAACAGTACTCAACTCTGTTTTTTTAACATTTTTTTTCAAAGTCAACTAAGTTCCCAGTAATCAGAAGCATATTTATATTTGTTGTGTGTTGTAAAATGCTAAAAAACTCCAAAGGTGTTCCCTTTGAATAATTGCCAAAAAGCAAGCATAATTGATAAATAGTGTTGCAAAAAGCACTTTGACATAAAAGTGCACATAAAATGATGAATATAGAAAGGTTGGATAATTTTTTAAAATAAATAAATATTAAATTATTATTAAATATTGTTCAAATCAACATAAACTGTTAGTCAACAGTGTTGCAAAGCGAATATTGACCAACAATAATGAATAAATAAAAGTGTTCGTTCAAGTTATTTGTAAACATATGATCATAAAACTTAAGAAAAAGGCACACTTACATATTTTAACATTTCCAACAGTGTTGCAAAACGCAATAGGGTCGTAAATAAATGTTAAGAAACCAAAAGCATTAATAAGTGTTATATATTTGGATAAATTTATGAGCAGGCATTTAATAAACAGTGCTGTAAAACGTGAAATTGTAGATTTTCGCATTATAGCGCTTTATCAAACACTGCATTATTTAGATTTCTCATACAATTGACATATTTTGCCATGTGAATACTTGACTTGTCGAAAGGGTAAGCTGAATCACAACCAAAATGTCAAAATCTTAGCAGTCAGTTATATTGTTGTCAGGTTTATTGAATTGGTATTGAAATATTTGAAAATCTATTTCAATACCAATTCAGTAAACGAACAGACAAGTTTTGCATTAAGAGCCGGCAATATTTCTACGCGCATTCACCAACCACTTTTCATATACATACAACCAACATGTCGTTGCGTTACGAGCTGAGCGAACCGATTGCCGTTTACAGGGTATCCTACAAGCTATTCCTGCCGGACGTCAAGGCCCTGATGCCGCGTGCCGCCCAAAAGGCCACCGAGCTAAATGTGCGCGGCTACATGACGTATACGCAATGCGGCTACGCGGTCAGCGGCGAGCTGGAAGGCACCCGGGAGAAGCTCGAGCAGATGATGTCCTGGCTGCAGCAGGAGACACCCAAAGGCGGCGAACTGCCACAATTTGGCCGATATCAGCTGCAATTGAAGCCCGGCTACGATGATTTCTTCTGCTGTTAAAAAAAATTAAAAATGTTGCTTGAATATAAAAACTGCTGCCAAGTGCCACAAAAATTGTTTCGAGTGCAGCTATTGAACAATGGACTAGACGACTTGACTGACTTTTCAAAGTCAAAAGCGCGATTGTATCATCAGTTTTTTGAGTATTTCATTTTGAGGGCGCGGGTGACTCTGATTTCTGGCGGATAAAAAAGTCGCGCGGCAAACAATGAGAAAAACCCAGCTAGAAGAAGAAAAATCAAAGAATGGAGCCAAGTCGCAAACAATCGAATCAATTCATTTTTCTAGGGCGTACTATGCCACTTGAACGTTGAACTGCAGACGCCCCAATGCTGACTACTGTGAAGGCGACCGATCTTAACTGCCAACCGTTCCATTGTTACTGCAGCAGCAGCAGCAGCAGCAGTAAGCAGTCGGAGGCAGCAGCAGTTGGTCTTGATCATGCCCTGGCACTAGTCATTTTATTATTATTTTCAAGATTTTCGCGGCGCTACTTGGCGCATTTCGCAACACTGCCAGATCAACCGGCCCGACCCCCTCGGCCCACCCTGCCATAACTCAAGCTGTGCGCGGCAGATTTATGGGCTTTGCTTAAATGGGAGCAAAGCGTTCTTAAAGCCAGGATTACGACGTAACATTCGAACAGGCAATGCCAATTCAATTAGACCTAAATGCTGTCAACAGCCGGCCAACAGCAACAACAACAGCAACAACAACAACAACAGCAACAACAGAGACAACAACAACAACGGAGACAACAGCTGTGAAATAGACAGCCAAGTGTCGTCTGGTCTGTTGTGTGTCTGCTGTGTCTGTTGTGTCTGTGCGCCTCGTGTTGCATAATATTTTATGCATGCAGAGCGCTTGCATATTGTTGCAACATGTTGCCATGCTGTTGATGATGATGCATAGCCTCCAGAATTGCCACGTTGCCCCTCCCTGAAACGAATAAAAAATATATAAAACAAGTAAGAGTGATCTCGATCGAGTGTGCTTGACTAGTAACTACCCTGTAGCCAGTTCTTTCTACACATAACTATACTGCCTGCTGCACATTTTGGAGTATACCATCTCGAGTAACTCACGTCTTAACTGTTCGATCTTAAAGATATTTGCAGAACTTGTTATTGACTATGAAATATGTGCGCATACCTAAAACCAAAACTCTATGCCTAATATTCCCGCTAATACGATCGTGTCTTTAATTTTGGGCGTAAGGTATCTAAAAAATGTATGTACAAAGCCAAGTGTACACCTTACGATGCAATACATGCTAAATTTGGTGGCTCTAGCTCTTATAATTCTCGAGATATGCTCAAAAAACCGAAAGTCGATATATCGATTCTTATCGATACTTATCGATTTCTTGCAACCTTAATGTAAATCGGATAAGCTCGTGATATATGGAAAATTTTCCATTTAAATTCTCTAGACAAGATGAGCTCGGATTCTTAAACTGATCAGGAATATATATGTCATTTGTGGACTCGCAGCTGCCCCAACTCCGCGTCTTGTTTATCCATTTGGCAATGGTTACAGGGCATGCAACAAAATAAAGACTGCCCGACCGACAGACAGTCCTGCGCCAAGGCGTCCAGCTGTGCGCCGGCTCCAGTCGCCCAGCCCCGCCCCGCCCCGCTTCAGTCGCCTCACCTGGTAAGTGTGTCGAATATTCAAGTGAAAATTTCCCGCACGGAGCTCAAAGTCAGTCAGAAATCGGCGAGTGCGGCGCTTGTCTTGCCATTGTGTTGGTGTGTCTATCCATATATCCATCTATATATATATATATTTGTCTATGCATGAGCTATGGATACGAATGTATCTGTATCTGCACATGGGGCCTTTATAGGTGGGTAGCTGCGAGCTGCCTTTCGACTGGTATTCGCTCGCGTATTTGATTAGAGACTGAGCCAAAACTTGTCGTTACAGTTGTTCTTCTTGTCGTTGTTGTTGTTGTTGTTGTTGCTGTTGTTGTTGCCGATCTTTAAGTCGAGCAATTACATTTTAAGCGTAGCACAACCTTGGATACCGTTATACTTCTAGCTGTCGTTGGGCGTGTGTTCATGTCTAGTGGGCAAATAACACAGCGAACACATTTCCAGACAAGTTCTTGACGCCCTGCAGCACACCTGGACCCAGAGCTGAGCTCCGAGTCGCTGCTCGAATTACTTAGCATGGATGGGCTATTAAATGGTTAAAACGTTGCGTAATACAAGCATTAGCATGGCTTTAATTATAGCTACTGTCAATCTTATTAATAGAATATTATTAAAGTGTATATTAATTAATAAATTAAAGAATATTATAATCGAATTGAAAACTTTAGCTAATAAATTCCAGTTGTGAATTGAATATTCAAAATGTTTATAAATAATTAAAATATTAATCAAAATAAATAAATTGAATATATAAAAATTAAAAATTAAATAAATAATGTATTGAAATTGTTATTCGCTCAGCAATATATTAAAAATAATATATTGAAAATAATAAAAATAAAATGATATTTATAAGTATAAAATGTTGCAAATGCAAATGGTAACGAAATTATAATTTACCCAGTCTCCAAAATATAAGGAAAAACCTCGACCTCTAAAAATAAGCCAAACGAAGAACTCATATAAATATATATCTCTCATACTTATAGATATATAGAAATGAATGGTTAACAAATCAACTTTCCAAATAGATGAATAATATTTAAGTATATTAAGCACTCTTTAAGGTATTTCTTTGTAAGTTGCTTCTCTTTCATTAATTTTTTGATTGCCTTTCGAAGTTCGAATTGAATATCACAAAGAAAGGAACAAAAGCTGAAGACAGAAAGAGACAGACACATATTATAAAAGAACATCATATATGATATATATAATATATGATATGCTATTATGTACACATAAAAGATCCAGGATTTATTCTTCTTCAATTAAAGAAACCCCCCAAAAAATTAATATTTATGATAATAGTTGGCAAAACTATGTTTTGCTTCTAAATTTTCAGTTAAGATCTTGAACTTTGTAATTAAACAAATGATGAAGAAGATGTATCCATCTTCAATTAAATTTAAAAAATGAATATTTATGATAATAATTGGAGAGGGTTGGAGATTTCTATCCTCAACTATTTTTTGCTTCCAAATTTTCACTTGAAATCTTCCACTTTTTAATGAAACATATATCCATTAAAGTACAATATACTTCTGTTACCTGTAAGTTTACTTGAACTAGACTTGAAAAATCGATCGAACAGTAGTCTGTTCGAGTTCTAGATGGTGTAGACGAAAATGTTTATTGGGTTTGATGGCAAGCACCCAGCACCGCTGGGCTAAACACGATTCAGCAATCTGCAAACGTCTCGTTGGCTTCGACGTCTTTGGCAACAGTCGAAACAGATCGCCAGTCAGCCCCAGAGCCAGAGCAGCAGACCAGGCCGGGCCACTCCGAGACCACAGCGCAGCCGAGACTAACAGACAGTCGGACAGTCGGACAGACAGACGGACAGACGGGCCAGCTAAGAGCGAGTCGACCACACCCGCACACTTCATTATTTTTATGTCGCCTGTGGTGGTACGATTTAAACGACAACGGGGCGACGTCTGGGAATTGGTATCAGGGGGGGGTATCGAGGGGGCACAGAGAACGTGGCACGACATTCAGCATTTGGTGGCGTCTCTGCGCAGAGCAGCCCCAAAAGCAACTTCAAGAAATTAGACGCATTCGACGTTTTGGAGCGAGCGACAAGTCAAGGAGCTAGCCCCAGACCCACAGCCAGGCACGGGCTTTGGCTCTGGCTTTAGCTTTTTTTTGGGGTATTGCGGATTGCGGATTGGGGCACGGGCTGGTGCTGCCTGCTTAAATGTGCCCAGGCACATCTCATGTTGATGTTACAATTGCCGGTTGTACGTTTGGTTACGTTTCTTTTTTATCCGTTTTTTTTTGGTTTTTTTTTTTGGGTTTTTGGGGATCGTGCTCTGGCGCAAATGTGCCTGGTGGGGTTTGGAAATTTGTAGCGCCTGTTCGAAAAATAGAAGAAAATTACAAAAAGGCTGCTGCAACAGCCACAACTGCAACAACAGCAACAACAACAACAATTATCTACAATTACAACAACGGCAGTCAGCCAAAAAGTCGTTACTGTTCAAAGCGCTGCTGCGCTGCGACAAAATACACTCGCCGAAAATATATATCAACATTTTTGTACTTAATTCAAGCTCGAAATGACTTAGCTTGAGACCAAAACTTAGAAGTTAATCATGGAACATTTTAAACCTATTTTACCTAAACGAAAATTTCAATGAGTTCTTATATTAACAGAGAATTTTGTGCTAAGTTTAAGTATGTCAAGCTTGAATTTTCTCAGCCTGAGGACAAAAATCTTCTTTTAAGAAAAGAGAAAAATCTTTTAAATTTTAAAATATAAAATACAGAATGTTGCTAACTTTTTTTAGCCTAAAAACAAAATTCTTTTTAAAGTATAAAATTTCTATATACAAGTAAGAGCTGGAAATATTTTGAAGCTTATTTCAAGTCTGCAAATTGTTGCTTAAATTATTTTTAGTTGAGACTAGCCAACTATTCATTTATATTTTAATCAAAGTTGGTTTATGCTTGATTCAGTATTATTTAAGATTGAATATTACTTAAGATGAAAAATGTAAGGAATATACTTGAGAATTCGCTGCTGATTTCAAGTCTGCAAATTCTTCATTAAAGAATTTTAACACAATACAAGCCAACTTTTCCTTAACTTTTCATTCAAAATTGCTTCATGCTCGATATAACATTATTTATGATCAAGACGTGAACTTAACCCAGCTGTAAATTTAATATAGACTTTTTCTTTCAGTGTATTATATATATATAAATGTAATACGCCTTTTAATGCGATCGGCTGCCTCTGCGTCTTGGTCTAAGGCAGAGTCCAATGTAATTTATCTTGATGTTTAAATCAATAATATGTATAACGCCATCCATCCAAAGTTGTTATTTCTCCAATATACACACGATTATATATATAAAATTTAATAGCTCCTGTTGTTGTTTTTGTTGTTGTTGTTCGCTTGATTATTATTGAAATTTTCAATATGCGGCCGCTTGCGGAGTTTATTAAGGCACGAATCGCATTTTGACGACGAGCGCTTTCATAATTATTGCCATAGGCTTTGATCTGGTTTGATTCTGGCAGCCACATAGCTCTATCTGCATCTGTATCTGCATTTGCATCAGTATCTGTATCTGTATCTGTATCTGTGCGCTTGGCATGCCGCCGCAGTAGGCCGCGAGTCGCGTCGCGCCGCGTCGCGATTCTGGTCTGGCGTCTACGCCTATTCGTCTGCTTTGGCTGTGACAGTTGGGGGCTCTCGGATATGGTTCTATTGTTCGGCGTGCAGCCTGAAGAGCTGCCGGGTATATCTGTATTTAGTGGTGGGCGGTATTGTTTCGTAATTGTGAAATATGTTGTCATGCTCTAAGTTATTGTCGACAATCGCTTAGATGCGACAAATGCGGTACAGTTAGCTTTGGGGTCATGATTTTTATAGAGCTGCATTGTTTGCCATCATTATTAAGGTAGAGCGTAAGAAAATCATGTCAATTGCAACTTTGGAGAGTTTTTGAAAAAGTCTACAATTTTGTAGAGTTCGAGAACAAGCTATAAAATGAGTGTGTTGAGTAGTGTAGTATAATTTAGCCAACTTATACATACTATTTAAGCATTTTTGGAAACTCTACAAAATTGGAGTGTTTTATAAATTGACGCTTAAGCACTTAGGATAATTTCTTATTACATAAACTGCAATAAAATGTATATAGTGCAGTTTATCAGCTTTTAAGAATCTTCACTTTTGGAGAATTGCTTTGTTATGTTATTAATATGTTAATTAAGCAGTTGTTTTACCAATAATTTCTATCCGAAGTATATCTAACAGCTTATAAAAGTCTCCACTTATGGAGAGTTGCTTTGTTATGTTAATTTAAATTAATAAATCAGTCGCTTTGCTATAAACTTCAATTGTAGATATGTAAAGAGCAATCTAGAGCCTTATATAAGTCTCCACTGTCAGAGAGTTGATTTGTTAATGTATCAGAAGTTAATTGGCCAAACACTTTGCAACTGACTTCCCTCGTAGGTTCGTAAATATCATTCATATGCTATATAAGTCTCCAATATCGGCAAATCGCATTGTTATGTGTTGTTTTGTCATTATACTTGATTCAGATGTGTATAAAGAGCTGCCTCGCTTAGTTATTTGTTGCGCTGACATAAACTTGAATCATAGGTGTCTAAAGAACCTACTGGTGCCTGATATAAGTCTCCACTTTTGGGAAATCACTTTGTTATGTTATCATTATGATAATAAAGCAGTTGCAATGCCATAAACATGCATTTTAAGCAGCCCGGAGGTATTTGAAAAAGTCTACAATTTTGTAGAGTTCATAGAATAGCCATAAACGCCAGACGCCAGCGCTAATAGTGTTACTGCCTGGCTTGGTTATTTGCTCCGCTGACATAAACTTGAATCAGAGGTGTCTAAAGATCTTACTGGTGCCTGAAAAAAGTCTCCACTTTTGGGGAATCACTTTGTTATGTTATCATTATGTTAATAAAGCAGTAGCATTGCCTTAAAAATGCATGTTAAGCAGCCCGAAGGTATTTGAAAAAGTCTCCAATTTTGTAGAGTTCATAAAATAGCCATAAACGCCAGACGCTAGCGCTAATAGTGTTACTGCCTCGCTTGGTCATTTGTTCCGCTGACATAAACTTGAATCAGAGGTGTCTAAAGATCTTACTGGTGCCTGAAAAAAGTCTCCACTTTTGGGGAATCACTTTGTTATGTTATCATTATGTTAATAAAGCAGTTGCATTGCCATAAAAATGCATGTTAAGCAGCCTGAAGGTATTTGAAAAAGTCTCCAATTTTGTAGAGTTCATAAAATAGCCATAAACGCCAGACGCCAGCGCTAATAGTGTTACTGCCTCACCATCATTAGAGCCGCCACCGCCGCTGCCACTGCCGCCGCAGGCCAACAACTGTGCGTATGACTGCTGCGCGCTGTCTGCGGCTCGTTGTCGTTGCGCATACGACGCGTATTCGCTGGCTATAAAACCAAACAGCAACAGCAACAGAAACAGAAACCGATGCGGAGCCGAACGGGGCACGAATGGGGCAGCACACACATTCACATCGACACCGGCACGTTTTAGTGCCCATTAACGAGCAATTGCAATTTAAACTGGATCGCTCAGTTGGCAATTTGGAGCGTTGCTTTTATGCAACAGCGCAGTCCACGTTGCAGTCAACGTTGCAGTCGCAGTTGTGGTATTTTGGACAAATGTAGATTTTTCTTCAACGACAACGACGATGGCGATGGCGAGTTGAGTGGCCTGTGGGCCACCACCGAGCAGATTCGACGGGACGGCCTCAGCAGCAGCAGCGGCAGCGGCAACGTCCGCCCCGACAACGCCACGTACGCGCCAAGGCGTGTTGTTGTTGTTGTTGTTGGCGGTGGCGGCGGCGGCGGCGGCTTACAATGCATTTCATCAGGCAGCAGCTGCCTGGGCTGCCACACTCTTGATTTTGTGCCTCTTAGATTATACGTTACGTTGCTGCGTTTCGCTTGGACCAAGCCATAGATACATAGATACAGATACTTGCCGCGTACGTACGTCTGTGTGAGTGTGTGTGTGTTGTATATTTCTTTGGCTAATAGCAAAATGTTGGCTATATGGCCCTGCTTCGTTAGATATAGATAGCATTCGATTTTCGCTCAGCCGGCTGCAGTTGTTGCCCCTGTTGCTGTTGTTGCTGTTGTTGTTGTTGTTGTTGCTGGCATGCCTTCCTAGGCAGATAATCAGGCAGGCAGCCAGGCAGCTTGGGCACAGTTGCTGCTGGCCGGATGGCAGTTGCCGCCGCTGCCGCTGCCGCTGCTGCTGCTGCTGCGCCTAATGCAAAAATTCGATCAGCTGCATTTTCAGATCTCGACCCATATTTTGCTATATATTTTTGCTGCTGCTGCCGCAGTTGTTGTTGCAGTTGTTGTTGTTGTTGTTGTTGTTGTTGTTGTTGTTGTTGGTGCTTAAACTGGTTTCGATTTGCATACACGTTGGACGCAGGAGTGCGATGAGTGTGCTTAGTCATATTGGGCGGCCATTAGAATGCCGCGTCGCGTCGCGTCGCAGTTGCAGTTGCAGTTGCAGCATAGAAGAAGAAGAAGAAGAAAAAAACTAGCAGTAAAAGAATATCCATTGGTCCCCACCTAAACTAGTTTTCAAATGTTTTTTAGAGCAGACACAGACTTTGCCTTGCCACATTCGTTTCGTGTGTTGCTGCTGCATTTATTGCCGCTGTTGCCGCTGTTGTTGCTGTTGTTGCTGTTGTTGTTGCTGTTGCATGTTGCAATCGATTGCGAAACGAAATGTGCGACCCACTGCGACTAATCTTCACAGGCAGCCACAAGCTCGATCTGGGCAGGCAGCATCCAAGCATCGCAGCCTTTAAAGACTCAGCTCCTCTTGTTGCAGTTGCTGCTGCTGTTGCTGGCATTGTTTCCTTGCTTGTTTGTAATTAAGCATACGTCGTGTGGCACATGGGATGCCAGCGCCTCAGATACTTTCACAATTTGCTGCTGCTGCCGCTGCTGCTGGCTGCAGTTGGTCAGCAGCAGCAGCAACAAGAACACAACACCCGTTGCCATTGTCGACAACTTCAAATTGTAACACACTCGAATTCTAAGGTGTGCCCGAGACGGCCATTTAGATTGTGCTACAAGCATTATCTGTAAACCACATGCCGCCCCTCTCCACCTGCCCCCCCCCTCCCTGTCGCCCTCCCTCTTAGGTGTCCGCGTGAACGAGCGCGTGTTGCTGCCGCCGACAGGGAAGGCCAAGAATTTGTCGGCTAATAGAGAACGGCGAGCGCACTTAATGATGCCAACTTGTGTCGGCCCGATAAATACAATATAAATAAATGCAACAGCAACAGCAAAAATTGCTTAAAACAACAACAACAACAATTGCAGCTCGCAAGTGCAAGAGCTGTCCAAGCACCCAATTTGCGCTGCAATTGCGCCCTTTCAATATTAACTCGAGTATCAATAGGTAGGAAAAACTTAATTAAATATTGATTATTGGATGAGTATCATGTACATTAATATACAAAAAAAACTCTTTAAACTAATAAATAGATCTATAAAATTAAATAAGTTATATTGGAAACGAAGTAAGTAGATGGAAGCTCAAGCATATTAACATATAAAAAACTATTTGAAATAAAAATGTGTTATTTCAAACAAAATTGCCTTGAATAAAGACCCCGGACCTCGATGAAAAGATGGAAATTTTATAAAATAAAAACTTTATAAAATAATATTTAAAGTATTAAAACCAAGTAGATAGAAATTTCTCCATACAAAAAAACCTCTTTAAAATGAAAAACAATTTATAAATAATAAAAAAAATTTTTAAAAAATATTATTCATTAAATAACCAAATAATATTAAATAAATACAAAGTAATAAATGAAATATAACAAAAAGAAAAAATAGTAGAAAACGAAGATGGAAATTTCTTGGAAAGCTCGATATAAACTCTGTTCAAACAAAGTAATAAATTATAAAATTATACTAATAATATTCAAATGTAAGCTTTTTAAAATAATACAAATAACATTAAAAACATTTTGTAAAATAATACAAAAAATTTCCATATGTAATCTTTTTTGAAAAAATTACAAACTACATCAAAAAACAAATTTGTATAATAATACAAATAGTATTAAAAAGAATAAAAAATATATTAAAAAAAAAAAGTAAGTAGATTGCAGAATTTTCTAAAATCAGATCTCAATCAGTCATCAATCAGTCAATCAATCTGTTTGGACAAACTCTTTTAAATATTTGCTCAATATCAATAAATATTTAATGTTAATAAATACCTTTGCATTTTTGTTTATATAATAAATAAGTGAGAAGATAAGTAAATGTTGTTGAGTTATAAATTACACGCAATGCATAAATCGACGATCGGCAAAAATAATGTTGTTCCCCCAACAACAACAACAACAGCAACAACAACAACTGCAACAACAACAGCTAAAAACTCGGCTCGAACTGCGGCAAAGTGAGGCGTATAAACAAGCCATAAGCATTTTTATGATCGCTTCTCAATTAAACAACCACTTGTTGTTGTTGTTATTGTTGTTGTTGTTGTTGTTGCTGTTGCTGATGTTGTTGTTGTTGTTGTTGCTCTGGCTAGGCAGACTGTCGCAGACAGCATCCATATATACACTAGATCTGTCTGGCCTGCGTTGTCTCTATCTCTCTATCTCTCTCTGCCTCTCTCTGCCTCTCTCTCTGTCTCTCTCTCTCTCACTGTCGCGAGTTATCGCTGCCAATCGAATGCTGCGTTTGACGCAATTAAATTGTCACTTTTCGTTTTGTTGAGGCGATATTTAAGTGCACTGGTTTGACTTGAACCGCCTCATGGCAGCAGTTCTTCTCGTTGTTGTTGTTGTTGTTGTTGTTCTTTCTATTGGTTGTTGTTGTTGTTGCTGCTGTTGTTGTCGCTGCGAGACATCGTCTATAGCTTGTAGACAATCGCGCGCTCGATGTCTGTCTCTATGCACGTATCTGAGTCGAGCAACAATTTGCCGCCTTCCTTAATTCTTATCGTCACATAATAATTTCACATTGGCAAATTCTTGCTAATTAGTTAATTGCTCCACACACACACACACACACGCACACTCATTTAAATTTGAAACCTAGAACATTTTGCATCGTTTTTTGTTTTTATGCGTGTTTTTTGTAGCCATAAAAATTTGTGCTATAAACGCAAATCTTAACTATTTCAATTTCAATTCAAATTTGTTGCCAATTTGTTTTTGTATTTGAATTGCTTTTTTTTCAGCCAAGTACAACTTTCTAACAAATTTAAATTGAATTAATTCAAGCATTTAAAATAAACTTAAGTTTAAGTTAAGTTGTCTTTATTACAGAAATGACTAATAGAGATATTTATCAAATAAATTTCGAATACATTTGTGTACATTTTGCGAAGAAAGGAACCAAGTAATTGGCACAGATATTTATATAAAAAAAAAATATTTATATACATGTTAAAAAAAATGGTTTTCCATTCAAGATATTTACTTAAGAAATTTTATAACCAACGTTATTTTCGTTCAGTTTTTGTTCTAGAGGTCTAAATATTATCAGTCCTGCAAATCGGCTAAACTTTGACAAAGTTATGGAAGCTGAAAGTCGAGTAAGGGCATTTAACAAGTCGGGTTTTTAAATCCAGAAGATTTTCTGAAATAACTCGGGTAAATAGAGTCCTGTTTTGTTCTTATGCAGATCCCAAATATTAATTGTCAACGAAAAATCAAGTTAATAATTTTCCAAATTTGACAGAAAGGGCAGAGATTAGACCACAATTCTTGCCAAAAACGGATTGGAAATGAAATCAAAAATTTATGATGATTTGTTTTTAATATCTCGGGGAATTTCAGGGCGATTATCAAATGATATGACTTTCAATAATCTAACGAAACCCGATTATCGTTTGGAAAAAAAAGTATAAATATTATTAAGTATAAATATTAATTAATTAACATATTAATATATTTGAAAAAAATGGTTCGCTTTTGAAAACCAGAGTTTTTGTGGAGGGAAGCTCAAGAAATTTCGCGAAAATAATTAGAATTCATCTAGAATTCAAAACGTGATTAATAAGTCAGAAAAAAAAAACATAAAAATCGGCTAAACAGAGTTATGAAAGTTTGAACTCTAGAGAATTTATTGACTGGGGATTTGGGAGCTTTAATGTCATCATTGTTAATTTTTAAATTATGACAACAAATTTACCAGCTCCATATCTCTTCCTATAATATGTTTTATACTTTTACTGACACCCAAAAATATTAATTAAAATACACAAATTTTTAGATGCAGCAGCAAGTCATTGACAATATAAAATCGGGATATTTGCAAAGTAATATAAGCTTATATTAATACTTAGTAATCCTTAAACATTATTCAACTTATTAAACAGTGCCTGCTAAAAGTTATTTGACTTAGTTCCGACACAACTCTCCCTTATGTGGAGCTGTCCTAAGGCTATTTAACTGACAGCATTCGCAAGACCCTAAGACAACACACAGATACTCACACACACACACACACACACACACACACAGATACACACACGCAAATTTACACACATGTGCACACACTTGTTGCCACATACTAAAAGGCCATAACAACAATAACAAAGCGAAACGAAAGAAGTATTAAAAATAAATAAAAATGAAAATAAAAAAAATACCGTCGGCGATTTGGAACGCAGTCGAGATCTTAAGTGGGCGCTTTTTATGGGCGTGCAAGATCTGCAGTTGGGGCTTTTATGATGCGGCCAAGTTCGTCGAAGATCGCCGACGGTGGCTTTAACGACTACCGAATTCGAAGCGGGAGCAGCTGAGGGGGGGGGGGGGGTGAAGGGGGCAGGAGGAGGAGGAGGAGGAGACAAAGTTGGAGGAGGCGGAACAAGAGTAGAAGACGTTATGCTAGCCAGCTGGAGGAGAAGGAGGAGAAGAAGATGCAGTTGGAGCTGGAGGTGGAGCAGGAAAAGAAGCAGAAGTCGTCATGCACGCAGCTGGAGGACCTGGAGGAGCAGAGCCTGGAGCCGGAGGTGGTGGAGGAGGTGGAACAGAAGTAGAAGTCGTCATGCCAGCAGATGAGGAGCTCGAGGAGAAGGTAAAGGTGGAGGATGCGGAGCAGGCGCAGAAGTCGTCATGCCAGCCAGCTGGAGGAGAAGGAGGAGAAGAAGATGCAGTTGGCGCTGGACCTGGAGCAGGAGCAGAGGCAGAAGACGTCATGCTAGCCAGCTGGAGCTGGAGCTGGATGCGGAGCAGGCGCAGAAGTCGTCATGCCAGCCAGCTGGATGAGAAGGAGGACAAGAAGCTGAAGCTGGAGGAGAAGGTAAAGGTGGAGCTGGAGGCGGAGTAGGAGTAGAAGTCGTCGTGCCAGCCAGCTGACACGGCGACACAAATGAATCACCCAGCAGCATCAGCTGGACATGGAACGTGGAACGTGGGTGATTCCGACGTGTGTGAACTTTGTGAACTGTGGCACAGCGTGAAGC